ACTAGATTGGAAAAACTAGCAAAGGTAATGATGAAAAGGGGGATGGGAAAACATATAGTACAATATTAACAGTGCTAAAACGTTATCATACATAGGATTCATGTTAAACTACTGTAAYAATGTTTGTACATCTATAACATTTGAGCTTCCTGTCATGTTACGAACTAAGGCAGCCAGCCCAATAGCTAATCTTTAAATACCTCAAGTTCCAAAAACTCAAATTCTTAACTTCCTGTAGTTCAAATGTGACATAATACACAGATAGATAGATGGATTGGAAAAAAGGTACATTTAAAGTCAAGCCTCTGCCGGTAGCCCAACTAATTGATTTTAAAATTTATAAAAATTATAGTAGTAATACATATGAATATAAAATTGCTCCAGTTGATAAACYTATTTTTTGTCAAYTTTAAGATGAAATTKATTTATTTATTTTTATTTATTTTAAAAATATATTTTGTAAGATTCTTTGTCATGCAACATTTTGTCTCCCCAGGCCCAATGCTGGTGGTGACTATTATCGTAGTGTTATGGTATTTGTAGCAGGTACTGCTGCATTGATAGCTGTCATTACATTATTTACTACTTACAAAACTAGGAAAACTGGTCAAGGTTAGTGTTTGGAAAASGTTTTTTGAATATATTGTTATTTTAATAATCAGTATTTTGACATTATGATCACCAGAATTATACTTAAATTAGATACATTAGCAGAGAATTATGTTAGCGTCATAATGGAAGGTGTTAATTTTTTTTCTTTAGGTGCAAAAGCAACAATAAATCAAAGTGATGAAAGACGCTGCCTCCTTGCTAGTGGAAGGCCTTCTAGATCATCTTCCTTGACCCAGGATTACTCGTGGTCACTTGTATGTATAAAGGGACCACTGACACCGTAYGAACCAGCAATGCCATACATAGAGACTGAAGATTTGACTAATTCAATACAATTAACAAGATCTACAAGAGAAAGATATGGCAGTTCACCAATATTACCCTCCCCCTCTCTTTGAGATTTAACTTAGACTACAAACAGCAAGAATTTACAAACTTGCATCAAGCTCTGATTGTCATTGAGGCCTATACTATAATTTAAGTGCACATAATTGATTAGTTGACGTATTATGCAAAGATAATTATAGCTAAATTTGTTTATTAAAAATCAAAGATGTTTATAAAAAAATACAACATATTGTTTGTCATGTTAAATAATTGATGACTATAAATATCTTGGTTGACTAAAAGGGAGACAAGGCACAGGAAAACAATTACTTATTATAATTGTTTTCCTGGACGTTCATCTCAGTCTGTCAGCTCTTAACTGGCCAATAACCAAAAAAATAAATTAATAAAATTAATAACAAAAACAGAACAGGAACTAGGGGTAACACATTAATTAGAATGTTATGTCAATTTCAACATAATTATTAAGAAAACAATGGAGGAATAAAAGAGTATTGCTCATTGTTTCCTCGTTCTTAAATCCTGTTGTACTTTTATTCAACAAATAGCTATTARCCCAATTAATGTGTTACCTCTAGTTCCTGTTTTGTTTTTGCTATTAATTTTATTAATTTATTTTTTTGATAACAATTCTCTGCTAATGTATCTAATTTAAATACTTATTGGGAGCTAATAGGGGGTAATTGGGGTAATTTTTTTTTGTATTTTAAAATAGTACTTGTAATCCCTATTTCACAGATGGATGGAAATGACTCTAAGGTACTATGTCTCAGTGTACATCTATTTCACAAGGTTTTATGACTCCACTACCTAAYGGAAAATACCAAAATCTATTTTCATTAAGACTTGACTGAAGTTGTATTGATAGTGACCCAAATTATGGCTTCCTTAAAGAGCAGGTTACAAAATGTTTTAATATATGGAGGACAACTCTGCTCTGTAGAAGTTGAAAATATGATTTATTATAATTATGATTCATTACAATGGATATGTTCAGTGTTTTCTTCTGATTTTAGTCAACAGGGAGTTACAAAGAGAGAAAGCAAATAGTTGCTTGACTGAAGGATTCAACATTTATGGAGCATTTTGTTGAATTACATATACTTGATGGTCTGTTGAGTTGACTGTGAAGTCACTAATGCATACATCTTCAGGAATGACCAGATCCTCTGCATTAATGAATCCTTTGAGTAAGAAARAATATTTTTTAAACTAAAGATCATTTAAGTTTGAATTTAGGGTTACTTTTAATTATAGATATGGATCCTATAATTTAAATGGATGCCGACTTTGTGACATTTTGATGCAAATAGGAGTTAAATACATSCAGCCACCATTTTTTTATATTTTTTTCAACACAACCAATTTTTATATTTATATTTATATTTTTATATTTTCCTGGCATGTAGATGTGATTAAAATTAGCCAATTTTATAAATTGTTGCTTTGAAATATTGAGACCTGCTGACTCACTCTATATTGAAGCAAAACATTTAGCCCCATTGGTCTAATAATTGTCTCAGGAATTTGAACACATAAAGGAGATCCATAACATCAATTATTTACTGTAAGGTGTTCACTAAATTTTCATTAAGACCCTGTGGGAAAAAAAAGACCCTCCAAATGTATTAATTACCACAGTAATAAGTGTGAATTCTMTGTCATGGACTGATTGGCAGATTAAATATGTGTCAATAATTCTAAGAGAACAGACACCATCACATCCAGTGTACACGCTTAGTTGAAAGAGATATTACAGTGATTTTCACTAATTCCTGACTAAAAGTAAATTACTAATAAAGCCTTGGATATGACATTGATTAATGCTGTTCACMAAAAGTTGTTTCCTTTGCTTTTTTTAACATTTAGGTGATTCTGGGGCATGTACCTGAAAGTGCTGTGTAAGTTCAAAAACTTACAGTTTTTTGGACATAATAATTGTAATCGAGTCATGTGCCAAAGGATCATTGACTTCATTAATTTACTTAAAGTACRCATGACACCTTTTAGAGAAACATTTTTATCCGAAAGGTAACACRCTGTACGGGGACGTGCCGCTGCCTGGGGTATGGTTTTTGGACTTGCTGTCTTAAACAGGGTATACATTTCACCTGAAATTGTCTTAAACAGGCTCTACAATTTAGATAAAAGACCGATATAATTTTTTKGGGTGTCTTGGATAGGGTTATATTTTCATAGGAAATACCCGAGAAATAGTAGRAATACCGTTTCTGRACTGTCCCAGGATTAACGTGTCATCAAAAACTTCYTATTGTCTTTGATGGATGWCAGTATAATTGCAGTTTTGATGGTTGCRSCGCAGATAGCTATTCCTTTATTTTTCCGATTTGTCTTGAACAGGGTACTTTCTAGTGTCAGGTATTTAGACAGCTGGCGGCACGTACCTATCCAAAACGGGGTYGATTACCTCCCACCCCGGGGTAACACGTTGCCAAGTACTTCTGTGAAGAAAGAAATAGATTTKGAATTGTATTTTCTGWRTTATAGACATTTGAAAATTGAAAATGCAAATGAAGTGACGTCAACTAAGGAATTGTTCCAGACTTTTTGCATTGTTTGTGCTATGCTGTTCTTGGTTGAAGAGCTCAAATCATCAATCATAGTAATAATTGAGAGCTGAAAATGCTTTTTTTCCAATGTAACAAAAAGAATGACGTCYTCTTTCATTATTTTGTATATATTAAATCATTCCTTAGTAGACATCACTTCATTTGCATTTTCTAGGTTTCAATTGCCCATAACTTAGAAAATACAATTTAAAATCAATTTCTTTCTTCACAGATGTACTTATCAGCATTTTCTTGTTTGGATGAGAATTAATTTCTAATGGGTGCAAAAAGAGTTTTTTAAAAGTATTTATGAATTGTAGAAGTAATAGCTTACAGGCCAACACAAAGACACTGTAATTGCTCTAGCTGCTTTCTTTTGTATCTGACATGTCTATTAATAGTCAAAGTTTCACTGTGGAAATTATATGACTAAAACTCTGATATTTGCTCAGCTGACTCATAATCACTTAATGGACTCTTTAAACTTATCTATAATAGCTGCTCTTTTGCTGTAACTTACCCTTGAAGTCTTTTAAGTGGTATATTTTTGAAGGACTTTTTTCTAATTCTTCATCAATGAATTCCCATTCTTTGGGAAATGTGCTGTCTAAAATGAATCATAATAATTAATACCTTTGATTGAAGTGATCTACCATAGACCATTAAAAGAAAATGACCAGCATAGTTTCCAGTGCATAATTACTTGTCAATGCAAGCCTAGGGCCAAAAATGTAAGGGTAAGTATAGGATAATGGATCAGCTCCGAGTCTTATTGAAAATAATGAACGAGCACGCAGCGTGAGGTCATTATTTTCAATAAGCAGAGGAGCGAGGCCATTATCTCCCATTTGATACACACTCTCATTGTTTTCAAAGGAAAACCACTTACTAGCAAATTCCCAAAGGTTTCATTAACATGATAACTATTTTACTCGTCAGTCTCATGGGACCAATGCTAACAATGTCTTTTGTAACAAGCCTCAAGAAAAAGTTAAATTACTTTTATGTTCCGATTCTGACATTGGTAGTCACTTGGCATACAGTGTTAGGTGTAGTAAGTGAAAGGTTGAGCGTTSGAATCTGGTTGATGTCAATTGATTTTTTCTTTACTTCAAAGATTTTAAAAGAAAATTGAAATTTTCATATCTACCAACAAATTCAAAGTTAGAAATAAGTGAAATAGGAGAATAGTTCATTAAGTCATCATCATCATCATCATCCCACAATCCCTCTCCACTGCACCCGGTTTTGCGCCATGACAGCAATCTGGTCAGGCCGAAGAGAGCCATTGCCGTCCCCCAGCCGCTGTTGAATGTATTTAAGGTATGACATTCGAGGTCGCCCTGGTCTCCTCTTTCCGTGTGGTRGGATGTATAGAGCATAGCACTTGGCGGGTTCCTTGTCGGGGAGTCGCAGGATATGACCCAAAAATTTCAGCTGACGGGTTATAATTTGCTGAATCAATGGTTTTGTTTCAGTCCTGGCGTGTATCTCTGTGTTTGGGATTCGGTCCGTTTGTTTGACTCCGAGCATAACTCTTAAGCAGGATGTTGMAAAGGAGTTGATTAAGTATTCAAGAAAAATAATAACCTCTCACTGTTTGAAATAGGGTTAGGAATACCTKCTGAGTATACATAGCAAGGGAGGGAACCAAATTACCATAAGTCAGGCCGGGTTGTTCAGTGGCTGATTAGCGCTAATCCTGGGTTAATAGTCTTAGAAAACCTTAGGGAGTTAACCTGGTTTTTGAACAACCAGGCCCTTGACCCTAGGTTAAACTGTTATTCCTTCGGATGCTACTTCAGTCAATGCAACTATGATTGGTACAACAAAGAAATAACATGAGCAACATCTTTTAATTATTCACCTTTAAAACCATTGGGATAAAGAATAAAATCCACYAAATTTGTGCTGGGATTCCTCAACCAAAGAGAACTGAATGGCATGACGCCTTGCTCCATATATAACTTGGTTTTGTAAAACCTAGCAGAAAATACAGATCAAAGTTCCCGTCACTGTAGCCTATGTAAGTTTAATACCTCAAAAAATTCACAATTTGTTCTCTAGCTATTCAGTCTTCAAGATCTTACCATGCAATGTTGGCCGAACTTTTTGCAAAAATCAAATCTGACTTCAATAAATCGCTTACGATTTTCCCTTTTCTTTTTACTGAAATAWGAAAAAATACCGTTAATGAGAATGACTTATCAAGGATTTTTTTTAAACAGCTTAACTATTATTTCAACGTAACGCGACGATACAGTTTGTCAATTAACTTAATTTTAGAGTCTATGTACTTGTAAGTTAAGCTTACATGAATTAAGCTTAGTAGAGCGGATTTCGTATGAGTAGGAAACGGACGGTACTGTACTGTGACCAATGGTTCACCAAAGTTGTGCAGCAGGCAAGSTCCGGTAACTGTGCGGTAACCGTGTGGTAACGGTGTCCCACTCATAGACTACGAAATCCGCTCTAAAAAGCTTGCCAGAACTGAGTTTCGACTGATTCCGGCAAACTGAGGAAATTGCCCAATATTTTRAATTGCACTTACGCCAAACGTTTTTACAAAATTCTGAAACTTCTGAAGAAAACCACGCTTTCTTTCCCTTTTCCATCAATAACATTGAGTAATTTTAGCTAAATAATGGCAAAAGGAGGCGAAAGTGTTTTTGAGACACAGGGTCTTGGACCCAGCTCGAGGTGAATCCTGGGTTTTATTTTTGACCAATAATGTTGGRCCATTTCGCRTTTGGCGGGAATCTCACAGTCAGAGATAGCGACACAGGCAGCCCACTCCTTCATGGAAAACTTTATTATGTATTTTTATTGTATTTTATTAATTCATAAAAATATATTGATGAATAAACAAGAACAAAATCGAAAATAGGGCGAGAAGCATAAGCGCGCGCTTTACTTAGCTTACTTGCTTCGATGAGCGCGCGCACTTGTGGATTACCTGTGGCATAGGTCACGATGCCGAGCCTCGAGGGATACAAAATYACAAACTAGTGAGCAACCCAACCTCGTTCCCAGGGCTATCTCTGTCKTCACTTATTTGATTCACTTTGCATAGAAATGGAGACTGAATACAACCAATGTTCTAAATGTCACCACGGTTGTTATTTTTCATCAATTAGAAAAACCCACTGCTACTTGCAATTGATATTCGTCATTTTATCCGAGAACATTTTTGGAAATAGGTAGATATGCAGGGTACTAGGGCTATTTAGTAATGCAGGCTTATTCCGGGAACCAAAATCGCCTTATCCCTGAGCATAGTTAATACTATGCCCTGAGTGATTCTGCACTATTTACGAAAATATTGCATAATACTAAAGGCTCCTGGCTTTGTGGTTATTTGACACATTGTAGCAATTCTACTACTGATACCTGTCAAAATTTAAATGGATTTTGGGAAAGTTTGGTTATTTTGTGAGAATTTTGGTGATTCTCCTTACTAGTTATGGATTTGTTGAGTTTTGGGATGTTACACCCCCCTTCCCCCCCCCCCCCCCCCCCCCACACACACACACGTGCCAAATGCACTATAATGCATACGTCTTAAGTTATATTATGTCTATGAAAAAGTTCGTGTTTTGATATCCTCCAAATTGGAAAACACTTTTTGACCAAGTGAGGATCGGGATTTATAATCGACGTCTAAAATGCAACCTAGATCTAAGATGATTAATGCACTAGTTAATTGAACCCCCAACCCCCCACCCGGGACTAGCGGGGGCATGTGAAGCGTTTTTACGTGCAGTTTTACAGCAAAATATTACTGTATACTGTTTTCGAAGCGGGGCAAAGAGCGGGGATTTTAACGCTCGTTTGAACATGTATGAGGCCGGGGATCGGGAGTTTCAATTGACTAGTTCATAAAGGTAATTTCATCGGACTCTATTATGAGCCACGATTGTTGCGAAGATGTTATCGCACGTGCAAAGCAGTGTTCAGGAGTCCCATTATCCGCATTACGGTGATTCCACAAACAAATTTTGCTTTACAACAAAATGTCTAAACGTAATGTACATTTTAAGCTAKAAGGATTCGAAAAAATGCGTACCCATCCAAAGTAAGAAATCGATTTCACTGTTGCTATGACCGTTGCTATGCAGGTATTAAAAACCAGCCACCTTAACTTTACGCAAGGGAATGATTGACAGTCTGGTCCAGCCCCCTATATATAACACTTGGTGACTGTYCGCCATATTGAGGAACTCGTGTATATATTTTTGTACGTTGGTGCAAACTGGTTATTTATTATCTGTTCTCTTCGTCATTGCCRTTGAGTTTCTAGCACACAGTAATTGATTGAATCAGCAATGGACGAGAAACCTGTCAGAAGTGAATGCACAAGTCTACCTAAAGGATGGCTCAGAGAGATTGTTGTCCGCAAAGGCGGTCTTTCTGCCGGKAGATCGGATGTTTACTATTATAGGTGAGTCGGTCGTAATTCCTACATCCTATTTTGAGGTGAAAAGTTTTAAGACTCTTATCCGACGTACTATTTKTAATGGCATCATTATCTTGGTCCACGTGATTCATTGACATCCATTGATACGAATCTTKACCGGTATTAAAAGGATCTCTCTTTACTACACAGCAAATCGTTGTTGTGTTATGAATATTCCTAATATTTTTTATAAGGAATGTGGTTCTAATCTACAAAAATGGGTTTATGATTGAACAACAACTTCAATGATTTTCGGAGTGAAGTTTAATAATTAGATACTTTTTACTACGTAATCTTGTTGTCACACTAGTATCTTTGCTACAGTAGGTTATTGGTGTGACATTAAGCCAGAAACTAGAAATTTTTAGTACCACTGTATCTTGATGTCTTAAATCATGCATTTAAATGACTTTCTAACGTAAGACAATGCAAAACAATGTGCCATGTGTTGCACATGAAGCAATGAACAACGGTAGTTTAGTCACATATCTTTTTAGTTTGTCCGATTTTGATAAAAAATAGCTTTGTTTGTGTAAAGAGTAACTAACTAAGCGTTATAGRAAAAGTACACGCTGATCGCGACAGTTAATATATAAAGCACACTTTCCTTGTCGAATCTCACATGTGAAGATACTTTATGAACAAAGGATTGATGAGCCTGTCATACACGTAACCTTAGGAAACCCTACAAAATTGTTTCCAACATTTTTAGTCCACTCAAGAAACAGCAACTTTCTACAAACGTTTATTGTGCTCTGTAAAAAAGTATAGAAATGTACTTTAGCAATTGATTTAAATATTACATATTTATTTTTTGCTTTGCAGTTGGTAATACAACAACATTTTGTAGTACATGTAGTTTATCTATAACTATATGGTGTCTGGGCAAAGAGTAAATTGGAAGTGATATAATTTGTTTAGTATTATTCATTATAGGATAATGTCATGKACAACCATAGAAAGGCTTTAGCAACAAGATTGTGAGAGTACATGTATGATTGTTACAATTCATTGTATAATAATTTGCAAATAATTGTCTATTACCACAGCAAACTGAGAAGAACTAAAAACTCATTGATTATTGTAAAGGAATGAGATATCATGACTTGGTGTGATCACGTTTGTATTTTGAATATTCATAATTGTCATCTCATCGTTATCCCATTTAATAGACACTCCCATTGTTTTCGAAGGAAAGCCACTTACTAGCAATTCCCAAAGGGTTCCTTAGCATATAAACTATTTTTCTCGTCAGTCTCATGGGACCAATGCTAACAATGTCTTCTGTAACGAGCCTCAAGAAAAAGTTAAATTACTTTTATGTTCCGTTTCTGACATCGGTAGTCACTTGGCATACAGTGTTAGGTGAAGGATTTGTAAGGGAAAGTTTGCAGGTTCGAATCTGGTTGATGTCAATTGATTTTTTCTTTACTTAAAAGATTTTCAAAGAAAATTGAACATTTCATATCTACCAACAAATTCAAAGTTAGAAATAACTGAAATAGGAGTATAGTTCATTCTTGTATTCAAGAAAAATAATAACGCTGTGTCTATATGGCCGGTTACTGGTCAAGGTCTTGAAAATGCTAAATGGCCGGCAGCCCATAAAATGTGTTTTTTCCCTCTATTATTATCTAAACGAGCTTCCAAACTCCAAAATAAAACTCTACGAGTAAAATGAGTGTGTTAAAACTTACATAAACGTCTTGCCGAGATTCGTTGCACTTAAAGACATTGTGTGAACTTGAACCGACTGCCAGCCAGGCGAAACAACGAAATCCTAAATGGTCGGCAGCCCATAAAATAACAGATTTCTCTTTTATTATTCTTATTTAAGGAGTTAAAACAACATAATAAACATTTCTGAAACTTTCATGGTACTGTATGTAGAGACATTTTTCTATTCGAGAAAAATCTCAAGCAACACGGCGGCCTGCCGGTCACGCAATTTTTCTTTCCATCTTTTATAATTCAAATTTAAGCGTTAAAGGATTATTGCCACTTCCAACTGTAAGTACATTACTCTACCCGAGAAAAATCTGGATTCTTTACTAGGATTACAGTTATGTTATGCTGTGTGGCAGATATGATGTATGATGAAAATGTTGTATGATGAAAATGTTGTATGATGATAATGTATGATGATAATGTTGTATGATGATAATGTTGCATGATGATAATGTATGATGATAATATGATTCATCATACAACATTATCATACAAGATCATACAACATTATCAGCATACAACATTATGATCAAACAACATTTTCATCATACAATATTTTCATCATACTACAATATCATCATACAACATTATCATCAAACAACATTATTATCATACAACATTTTCGTCATACTACATTATCATCATACAACATTTTCATTTCAAACATCACCATCATACATCAATACATCAATATTTTCCTACTAAAGTCTTATTTCATGAGGATAATGATTCCACTGCATCTGAGCTGTCTGCCACCCAGCATATACCCTCTGAACATGAACTGTAATCCTAGTAAAGAATGCAGATGTTTCTCGGATAGAGTAATGTACTGACACTGGCAATAATCCTTTAATTCTTAAATTTGAATAAAAAAAGATGCATGGAAAGAAAACTCTGTTATTTATTGAGCTGCCAGGCATTTAGGATTTTGATATTGCGTGACCGGCAGGCCGCCGTGTTGGTTGAGATTTTTCTCAAATAGAGAAATGTCTCTACTGTACCATGAAAGTTTCAGAAATGTTTATTATGTTGTTTTAACTCTTTAAATAAGAATAATAAAAGAGAAATCTGTTATTTTATGGGCTGCCGGCCATTTAGGATTTCGTTGTTGCGTGGCCGGCAGTCGGTTCAAGTTCGCACAATGTCTCTAAGTGCAACGAATCTCAGCAAGACGTTTATTTAAGTTTTAACGCACTCATTTTACTCGTAGACTTTTATTTTGGAGTTTGGAAGCTCGTTTAGATAATAATAGAGGGGAAAAAAATACATTTTATGGGCTGCCGGCCATTTAGCATTTTCACAACCTTGACCGGTAACCGGCTATATAGACACAGCGAAATAATAAACTCTAGCTCCAATATTAACCTCCTGTTTCAAGCCAGTGACTGCAATAATGACCTATGAATAATTCGATACCAACATTATTGGAAATAATGACTACTTCAAAACAATGAGAGTGTGTATTAAAATAATGTAAGAGAATTATGAAGCCTTATAATGTTTGTTTTAATCTGTTTTATCTGGCTGGAGTTATTGTTTGCCTTGAACATAATCAGAAAAAACTGGAGATTGATAAAACATTTTAATGAAATATTTTAATGATAGAGTGCAAGTCACATAAGCATGAAACAATTCTTAACTATGTAGTGCTAAATAAGATTTAGTTATCAACTAACTAAGAATTGAGAACAATGCTACAAAGGAATTTAAATAATTGGTATTGTGTTTATGCTTTGTTGAATTCTTAGTTAGTTGATAACTAAATCTTATTTAGCAATACATATTAAGAATTGTTTCATGCTTATGTCACGTGCACTCTAACATTTGTTCTCATTAGCTAATAATTGTTTTAAATCATTTCCTGMTTTTGTGTAGCAACAAAATGAATTTCATAAGATTAAAAAAATTCAGAATGGTGACTCGTGTGTCTCTTTCCAACTTGCTCTCTTGTGCTCTGCTTATCCCACTGTGTCTATATCAGAGTTCAGATGTGTGGCCATTCTACATTACCTTTCTTAAATAAAAACAATAGAGTACAAACATTAAATGTGTGCAACACTTTCCACTACTGTATTTACTATAAAATTAAATAGTGTTAATTAAACAATAGAAAACAATAGAATTAGCATAATTTAGCAGTATTTAGTGGTATTTATGTTGCACAGTTTTAGTGTTTGTACTCTAGTGTATAAATATTAAGTAATAATTCTCTTAATTTATTATGTCTGACATATATGGATTTTATTTACTATTTAATTGTTACATTCCTTGTAAAAGTCTGTGTACACMGTTTGTTTTCTGATGCAATGCAGTCATGCAAAGAGTTAGCAGTTTTTTTTACCATRGATTTTTTTGAAAATTGTCCTTATTTCTTTCAGTCCTGATGGTAAAAAGTGCAGATCAAAGCCACAGCTTGAAAAAGAATTGGGTGGTATGGATTTAACTGATTTTGACTTTAGAAGTGGAACATTTTGTAGAAAAAGTAGGCGAAGAACCAATCAGCAACATTACTCAAGAGATTTAAATGGAACAATCTTGCCAGCACCTGTTCGTCAGTCTACAAAGTCCTTCTCAAAGCAACCTGTGTCATATTATCCTATTACTGAGGAGCCTAGTCCAGCAAAAAAAAGAAAAATGGAAAATGCTATCAAAAATACTAAGATTGACAAAGACAGACCTAAGCAGTTATTTTGGGAGAAACGCTTACAGGGAATTACTCCTATAGATGCTGGTGATGGGAGGAAACTTGATAGTTTTAACTTTTCTAAAGGATTTAAGCTTGTTGGACCAGGCATGAATGAAAAGGGACTACTTCATGCTTTAATGGCCAAGATTCATAGCAAAACACCAATCAAAGGTCAGCATACATCAGTAGTGGCATTAGAAAAACACCCRGAGATATGGATCAATGTAGACCAACCACCTTGTACACCATTTTCTATCTCAGAAGGTGATATCAAAGCCCAGGAAGAGAAAGTTTCTAGACTAAGGAGAAGGCTGGCTGAAGCTTTGGCAGACTATGATCAAGTTAAGCTTAAATTGCTTTCAATGCAAGGCCAGTCAAAGACTCAGTCGGCAGAGTGATTTTTATTATTGTCCTCTCAAAAGACTTAGGTGGTCTCTTTCATGCTACTCGATCAACAAAAAAGTTTATTAAAGAAGTCTAGTGATAAGTGATTAGAAAGGTACATTTTCCTTGTAATTCCATACAATGTGTATGAAAATCAAAATTTATACCACATGTTAGTAGGACTCATTGCATGTGCATATCTTGTATATCTGAATATTAAGAAACCATGACCAAGCTAGGTGCACATTTTGAACAAGAATAAAGCATACTTTGGTTCAAAATGTCAATAAAATGACCCCTTTTCTTGTCGATCTGCTAGAAAGAGCCATTATAATTTTRAATTTAGACTATACAGTAGTTTTTTCTTTTTCATGACTCGACTTGATATGAAATGGTTTTAATTGTTATGTTATACTTTCCAGGGTTACATAAAGGTTTTTATCATATAATTATCTATGAAATACYTGTATTTCTCCATTTCATAAAGTTGATATTGAAAATATAAGCAGGTCCATAGATTGTGTACATATAAACAAGTATATTTTGGTTACTGAAACACTCATATCATAAAAATACTGCTTTATGAATACCACTTTAAGTGCTTGACACGAAAGTGTGAAACAATTCAACAAACATTTTCAAAATTAAAGTGCACCCCAAAACCCTGAAAAAAGACATTTCTTTCTAAAATTAGGGAGGTTTCTTAGAACTTTGGCAAAAAAATGACATGATTTTATTGAAATCCGGATATTTTACAAATTTGTAAACATGCAAGAAAAGGTACTTCGGGCTCCCTGTGGTGGATAAGCAATTCTACAGTATCACATGACTTGTGACSTCAACCCAGTATCAGATACTGCGAAACCCTCGTGTAGACACTGTCTGTAGTAGAGTTTTTATAGATTTTTGACTGTTAAAAATGTGTTTAACAACACACCAAATATCAGAGAAGGTATTGTCTTATTGTCTTGGTTGACCTCACACTTGTTTCCATGCTTCTTTCGAGGCTGTCCATCCGAAATCCAACTTAAAACATTTGCCAAAAATCAGGAATTGAATAAAATGGAGTCATTTTTTTTTGCCAAAATCTTCCCTAATTTTAGAAAAATATGTCATTTTTTAGGGGTTAGGTGCACTTTAATTAGTAAGTTGCACCTGCAGTTTATTGGTGACCAAAGGTTTGAAAAAAACGGCTTGTTTGCACTTTAAAGTTACACTTTCACATGACTTAATTAAATTGATTTAGTCTCCTTGAAGTTATAATGAAACCATGGATAATAAAGCAATTATTAAATTTGTATTGTGTGATTTCAGAATAAACAACGTATTGGTAAGTACAGTCTTGGCCTTTGGCCTTAGATGACTACTGTTGCAATGGCATTGATTATTTGAGATATTGTAAAAAAAAAAACTCATGACAATTGTAAAAAAAACTCATGAGAAAATTGTTTAATATATAAATTGTTTAATATATAAAAAGTAATCTTAAAAAGTAAGTGAAAAGTAATCTTACAAAGTAAATGACACAAGTTTTTGTATTTTTGTTTCAAACCGGACTGGCTATTTAGGTGTAATACTCCAGTTCCGAGATCTTATTTGTGCAGCCTTAACCTCGAAAGCATGACAAGTAATATATTCTTTTATTCAGCAGAGCATTTATTGTAATGCAAACACTCTGTCTACATGTCTACGAAGAAGACAATAAAAATTTATGCTTGAATGAAGCTGAGCTTGCACAAAACAGAATTCAAAACTGGAGTATTATCAAAAGTATCACACAGTTCTGTAAAAGGATGCATGGTTTATGCACTGTTTAATAAACCAGGAATGTTTTATTGGGTATAAAGATTAGAGGTGAAGGCGAACAGTAGAAAATTTATTGAACAGCTTCAAAAACTCCAACACSWATTTGAAACTCAAACCTGTAAGGATTCTTGGAAAAATGGTCGTTTTGAGATAAATTGGGGAATGGATCATGCACGAAACACTAAAACATAGCACTCCAATCTTGTCTTACCACATTGAATACACATAAAGTAAAATAGAATTAGCCCTTTGTGGCTGTTTCACTGCTAACAGTTGACAGCCTGCATTGGTCAGTGATGAGTCTTTATATCTGATAAAACTTTACATAAAGAAAGCTAATTTCAAAATTCTCTGAATACATAATTAATGAGTTATTATTAGTCCAATAGGATAAGCCTGTTAGCTTGTTCATTTATGGACCTTTATATCTGATAAAACACTCCCTAATATTTTTATTAGTATTCTTTATATAAAGAATACTAATAAGGGTGACCTTTATCAGATAGAGCGGATTTCGTATGAGTGGGAAACGGACGGTACTGTACTGTGACCGTAATCGTACTGTAACCAAATTCTAGTGCCCCATTGGTTCACCAAAATTGTGCAGGCCAGGTCCGGTAACTGTGCAGTAACCGTGCGGTAACGGTGTCCCACTCATACGAAATTCGCTCTATAAAGGTCCATGACACAGCAAAGGTCTCAGGTTTGATACCTGACCATAACCAATGCAAGCTGATGTCAACCGATTGCAGTAAAACTGCCTGCCTGCTCGCAGTGCTTCTACTTTACTTTATTCAATGACAGATGACAAGAKTGATTTGTGAAGTSATTTGGCATGATCAGTTTGCCCCATTTATCTGAAAACTTTTAACTATGATAGAGTAGATGCACTTAAGCTTAATTCTTTTAGACTTWAACAGTATGAAATTATTAGATGCTGAATTTGTTAATTTGTTGCTTAATCCCCCTTCGACAAATATAGTGAGACTCCTCTAACGACTCCTACACCCTTGTAAGACACAGTGTCACACCGATAAAGAACACGTAGTGACTTCATTTTTCCACACTTACAAAATATGCAATTTAGTCCACATGCACATGCACATGCACAAGAAGTCATACCTTTCTTCCTAATAAAAACTTTATATTGACCTTCCTTATATTCAGTATAAAATTCTGGTCTGAMATCTGTTGTATATTGGTCTAATGAAAACATAGATGAAGAAAATGCCGGACTTTCCTTCCCAAGCCTAACAACAAACACAACATATAAAATTGCAAATGAGGTTGTCACTCGTAGTTGGGCTTCCTGTGCTTCAATTATTCTTYTTGTACCCAGAATCCTTATCAAAATCTTCATACTCGTGGTTTCTACAGGTCAGGTTTCGAAGTAGTTGGAATGCAAGAAAATATTACTACAAGATTATAACTTCCTAAAGTAGCAAGGTAACATTATAAAAGTTGCTGTAAAATATTTATGTTTGTATTTTGATCGTAAAAATCTTCGCATTGGAAATTTGGTTTTAGAATTTTTCTTTTGTGTACGCCCGGCCAAATCCCTCCTCATATAACTTAAGTTAAGAGCAAACAAATGATATTTCCAACGACAACACTTGCCATTTTACTAAGCTTTAATGCAGAAATATAATAGTTGATTCAAGTCTTAATGTACCGGACTCGAGTAAAGTACCATCCACTCGGCTATGCTCGAGAGTGCGATTATCGAGTGGCCATCGTTGCTTTAGGCCGTGTTCACACCTAGATAGATCGCGACCGAACTACTTTTAAGTTCGATCTAAAATTAGACCGGTTCTTTTCACATTAATTCTAATTAGAACGGTTTAAATCGGGCTAAACCGATCGTAATCGGTTTCAGCGTTCAGACTATATACAACTGAACTGGCCTTTCTTTGGACAGCGGAGACTTCAGCAAGKGCATGCATTTCGAATCTTCAATCCATTCAATCTGTGGCACTGTCGCTATTTCGTCTTTTAGTTAAAAATTCGGGACGTAAACTGATACAAATGCTTACTAGTAAATCATTGTTACYTTACTATACGTATGCAAGCAACTACTTGATGGAGCAATACAACAATTGTGTGGWGTTTGGCCTTTTCCCTTTTGTTTAGACTTTGTACTACAAATCCAACAARTGGTAGAAGCAATAAAAGGTACTTACATGTACAACTTGAATGTGATTATTTGTCTACTTCTTATTTGGTATTTATAGTTGGAATTGGTTATGATAATTTTTTGGGAGGGAAAAATGTAATTTCGACGCAAGCGGACTTATTTTCGTTTCCATGGTGAAATTGAAAATAGGTACAAGTTTTGAGTAAGATTTGGAGATGTATAGATTTTACCAGTGTTTGTCGTGTTATTTCACAACTCTTTGTCTGAGTATTGGTTGGNTTTGATAAGAATTCAAAATCTGTGCAAACATTGCCTTCTTCAATTTAGATTTTGTAAACTCCCTTAAGTTTTTACTTAAGGTAGTACCGGAGGCTAATCGTTCACCTTTTTTTCGAAAAAAATGATATACTATTCGATAGATAGGCATTACTTAAAGCATTTGTGAAAGTTTGAGCGTGATACGTTACGTACTTATCGATATATTTTGAATTGAAAATCGGTATCCATGAGGGTTTTTCGCGCGAAAACTGTAATATGATTTACCAACAACAAAGGATCGATGAGTTTTACATGCAGCGATTTTTGACGTTTTCACACCTTGGGATTAAAAATGCTGATACAAATAGTGACTTCTTCGAGGTTTCCGGTCTCTTCAAAATGGATGCCATCCGCGAACATGCGTTGCTGTGTATCGGAGAAGAATTTTCGAAAGAAGGGTAAGTTCAACTTGAACTATCGTTAACAAAAAGCTGAAAAAAATCAAAAGCTTTGTCGCTGTTTACAACACTTTAGTAAATTTACTGGAATTTCGTTTTACAATCAGATATACAAGTGGAATTCCGAAGGGGCTCAAGTATTTGCTCGAGCAAATACGAAGTCAAGAGCACGAGAGCCCAGAAGCGACAAGGAAGAGATTTTACAAGCGCATCTATGGAATACTTTGGGTAAGTTTATATTGCGGTCTATTCATTGCTCSTAGAAGYATATCGGGCCAGTTATATTGAGTGTTTTACTTGCCGCATGACATATTTTTCAATCATTTATTGTCCGACTTATTGACCAGGACATAAACGTGCAAAGCGCKCGCAAACTCAAACTACATAGCTCCCTTGGTTCAAGCACAAAGCGATATTAATATATCTAACCACAGTCACAGAAGAAATCTAACCACAGTCACAGAAGAAAGTTTSAATGTTTTTATACGCGTTATGCTCACACAGTCGATGATTACAACAATGAGGTCACAACCTCGGCAGTGATACAAAATTTACTCCAAGTAAATACCATATTCTTAGTACACTGAACTGAATCTGTGCATGCTGTAGTCCCATTGCATACATATTTCAATTACTAATAAGCAATTCACTAATTTTGGTCTCACAGTAGCTTCTGGTGATTTTTTTTAGTACGGAAATAGAATCGGCGCGGGAAAATTTAGCGGGAAATCGCCATGCTACATTTACCCTGACTGCCTAAAGAAGGCAGTCAGAGTTCTTGTCCCAGACAAAGAGGAAACAGAAAGCAGGCCCTACAAGGACCCTRCAAAAAGCTCGGTAAGGCGTTTATGGTATTCTGACTGTAAACACTGTCATTTGTATTTGATCTGAGTATGACTTGGACAAAGCCAGTAGCATTGACATTGTCAAACATATTTCWTGAGGTCACTATTTAGCGCCCATTCTCTTAGGCCCTGTTTACATATGCAGGATGACCGTAGGTAGTAGGGCTATCTCTTGTAGAATAGTCATACTAGAAGCACTCTATCACTCATTTCACTGGTGAGCAGAGATTGATTTTACCTTGGAGATTGGACAAGACCTTTATAGGTGTTTATAGAAAGCTTTTGAAAGCTAATGAAAGCTTTCATTGTCTGTTACCCTAGGTTTACCATGTAACAATGGACGACCTTATAAAGTGCAAGTGGCCAGCCATTCCCCMAAAAAAGAAAAACTGAATGGACAACTATAAAAAGACAAAGTTATTTTATGTTCAAATTATTTTCCAAGAACATAGTATCATAAATATAGTATTTTTAAGAAATATAGTACTTTCTCACATATTAGAATTTCATTTTTGAGATTATATAACTATAATACTATTCCTACTATTCCTATTATAAAAAATTCAAGAATACATGTACACTAAATATAACATATGGCATTCACTAAAGCATTTTTTGMTACTTTTGAAAAGAATTTAAAAATAAATGTTACTTTACTTTTTTTTTGTCACATTGTCTATTGCGCGAACAAATGTAAAGTGTAATTATTCCAACAAACATCAACATATCAAAAAAACAAAATGTCTAGATATTTCAAAACTTGAATGTATRTGAACATGGAACATTTACTGACTTTCCAAGTACACTAGCAGCACCAAACACAGTTTTTTTCTGCAAGACAATGTTTTACAATGTTTCTATGATATCAGATATATTAGATTTTTTTTTGTTTTTTTGTTTTTTGATTTTATTACTTAGATTTTTTTTTGTTTTGTGGGCAATCCCTGTGACTAGTCCGGTAATGCGTTTGACTGCCACATCGGCACTTCTTTCCACCAATGCTCACCAATGCTCCACTGGGTGGAGCTACTGCATTGTCATTCGCCAGTTGTGTAGATGGGCATGTTTTGTTTGGGATCACGGTTTTCTCTGTTAATTGAAGGATCTCATCGTTGTCCAGCTCATCGTCATYGTCATCATCACCATAGAAGTGTTTTATCTGTAGCTGTTTTGAATACCTTCTCCTAAAAAATACAAACCAGGAAAACTTTCAATATCACTATCTAAACTCATTATTTGTGTTAAGSAATTTCAAAAAAYATTGGGTAMTGAAGAATTGTCATTTTGAKATGCTTAATGGGGAATCCAATRGTAACAATGCATTTCGGTCTGGGAGTACACTACATGTATATTTAGCAAATGCAATACCAAACTTAAAACAATACTACTATACTAATATTTATTGAGGTAAGTTCAATGTAAAACCTGACATGCAGCATCACAGTGTATTGCATTATAACTCTTTCAATCAAATTGAGTTTCAAAGAAGCCTACCTTAATTTTTGTTCTTCTGTTCTGTTCACCTTTGACTGTACTCTCTTTTTTCTCCCTTCCATTGTTTTCTTCTTTTCCAGTCTCTTCATCCTGTCTATATTGTCTTCTTTACACTAAAGTTATAAAAAAAACATGTGATTTATTTCCATGTTTCAGAATTGTTTGGTATGTCCAAATGCATAAGAGTACATGTAAGTACTGACTCTAATGGCTTGCTTAGTTTATCTGTATCTATTAAAGTACAGATGCTTTGAACCTTTTGTTAAACATATTTATATCAATRCATACCATTTGCTGAATTCCATCGAGAATTGGAAGACCCATCCTACCATAAAGGTCTATTATCCAGTGGTACTGTGCACCCCTATKTTTGTAGCACCAGGTCATACAGGACTGGATGAGGCCAACGTTTGTTGACGCTTGATAATGCTTTTGATGGAGGTTAGTATCTTTGGCCCTGAACTTAGTCAGAACATTAAAAGTAGCCTCTGGTAAGTTGGAATGCCCCTTCCCCATTTCAGGATATATAACAGACTCTGCCTTGTTTGCTCTTTCAGTACACTCTATCTCATATAAGAGTGCATGGAAGTCACACTTCAGCACATGAGCAGAGTGATATTTTTCACCAGAGCATTTCATGTCTGGAAAAAAAMCATGTTCATCTACATCACACTTTTTACAATTACATTTAACAACTGGATGGAACAAACACGAACCCCCCTCCCACTCATGTATGTCCCTGCAGTGGTATTTGCCAAGTGCAAGCATGGTCTCCCTATATTTCTCAGGACTAGTACCAGCATGCACAAGAGCGCAATAATGGTTACGCTTGGCACTCTGTATAAACCCTGGGCCTATGCACCCACATGCAGGTTGGTTCTTGGTAGCGACAAACCTATGCTTTTTGCCTTTACAAATACATTCCACCGATTCTATAGCAGGGAATGTCTTTTTGTATTTGTCAATAAATGCTTTCGTAACAGTGGACTTAGATTGAAAGTCTGACAACTTCTTCCCATGCGCCCTCCCCACATGCCCC